ACTTAAGTGATCTGACATTGTGTGCCTGGCATTCATCTTGACACCGAGTCATTTTCACCATAAACATGCCACCATTGCATCTCCATGGTCAGCAAGATGCATATCAGCAACTTCAGCAACATGCAATTTTCTCAATTACTGCTGTTTCAAGACAATTAAGCCAATGATATATGGCAGTGGTTGAAATTGAGCACGGCTATCAAGGGGCCGTGTCATAACCCTAATGGTCAAATGCTATAGCAGCAAACCTCAAGGACCAGCGGTCAACTCCACAAAGTGATCGTAGCCCTAAGGTGATCGTAACTCCCATACTTTAAAATAGACTTACAATTGTCATATCAAGGTGATCGTAACTCCTTACTTTAACATAGACTTGCGACTGTCATAGCCCTAAGGTCATCGCAACTCCCATACCTTAGCAAAGACTGTGTAGCCCAAAGGTGATCATAACTCCCATCCTTTAACAAATTCTTACGACTGTCCTAGCGCTACGATCACTTTGTGAAACGAGGCCCAGTGCATATTCCTAAAAGCCATGATAGCGCTAAGACAATTGTAACTCCAGTAAGATTATTTTCTGAAAAACACAAAAATTACCTGAAAAATCTTTTTAGATTTTACTTTCTTTCCACATCTACTGACCATGAGTTTTCATTAAAAAATTCAGCGAACCAAGAAATAAAAAATGTCTGGTCTAGGTACATGACACTTGGACCACCTTCCAACTCTTGTGTCGTCTAGTGCCAAGATACTTGTACCCAAAACATGGTCTGTTGTCCCTGTCTGAACTGTCCAAAACATGGTCTGTTGTCACTGTCTGAACTGTCCAAAACATGGTCTGTTGTCACTGTCTGAACTGACCAAAACATGGTCTGTTGTCACTGTCTGAACTGACCAAAACATGGTCTGTTGCCACTGTCTGAACTGTCCAAAACATGGTCTGTTGCCACCGTCTGAACTGTCCAAAACATGGTCTGTTGCCACTGTCTGAACTGTCCAAAACATGGTCTGTTGTCACTGTCTGAACTGTCCAAAACATGGTCTGTTGTCACTGTCTGAACTGACCAAAACATGGTCTGTTGTCACTGTCTGAACTGACCAAAACATGGTCTGTTGCCACTGTCTGAACTGTCCAAAACATGGTCTGTTGCCACTGTCTGAACTTTTCTTTTCCTTTCTTTCGATTAAACTTTTAGAAGAAAAACACTAACTGGTCTACATTGTCTAAACAGTCCGACAATACATCTGAGTCCTTTTATAGAAGAAAATATATATTTTTTTTAGATTCAAATATTAATTTTAATTCCACTAATAATGTTTAATGAAATTATGTCTTTAGAGACTTAAGCAAGTCCGACATCCTCTGCACTGTAACTGAATCCCCAGCCTCTATCAGCAACTGTAGCAGCCCCTGGATGTTCGATGCCTGGATTGCATGTTAATGTCCAGTAATGTCCAGTAGGGGCAGTGTCGAGTACACCCCAGGGACGTCACAGTCCGCCAGGCCCAGTAAACACCAGTTTACAACAGGAGTGGACAATGGGGATCACTACTTGGTCTTATGTAGGAGGGCAGGTATTGTCTGGCCCTGACTTCAAATGGCTAACTGCAGCAAATGATAGACATTAGTAGTTTGCCTTCGATGACGCTGACACCTGACAGACTTACGAGGCCCTGATTGATGAATCGCTGAGCACGTATATCTGTACTTGACTTCAGGGAGACATGTTGAGAGTATGTTAGTATCCCACTGGCAGCTGTTGTCCCTCACCTAGTGCTGGGTCTTGGTTCACGGTCAGTCTACTGAATGCAGAAAGCTGTCACCCTGGTCTCGACTGATAGCATGTTTGCTGTATTCGACTGCAGCAATATTCAAACAATATGATAATTGAGACTGGACCAGACAAGCCCTTGAAGAACAGGGTTAGAATTGGTCTTCAGCAACCCATGCTTGGTTGACGAATGCCATGAAAAAAAAAGCAAAGAAATGTATTATATCATATACTGTTTGCGCCTAAATTGTATTTTGTCTGTACAAAAACGCCTGTGGTCTACAAGTACTGAATATAGTGAAGCGAAGTGAGTTGCATGTCATTGTATCCCAGCTGCTTTGACCAATGCTCATGATGTCAATCACTGGATTGTTTGGCATAAACTCGATTATTAGTAGACTTCCGTCAAACAGCTGAAATATTTCTGATTCTTTGTAGACTTCCGTCAAACAGCTGAAATATTTCTGATTGTGGCATTAAACAAAAAACAGGCAAAATATAACAGTGGCCGATATTCTGAGTAATCTCTCCGGCTGACATGTCTCGGAGTCTGACAAGTAGATCCAATTTAGTCGCCTCTGAACAATGTGCTGGGAACGCACTCTAACAATGGTAACAACATGGGTTCTGTAACAGGAGATTTACCCATAGTACCTCATAGCTCCTAATGGAACTCACGCAACCCACTCAAGATGGACACAAATACAGTCAATCTGGTTCAACAAATCAGTATAGCAAATAGTTTGTTTAACAAAACAAGTCCTAATCCATGGGGATTGACTATTGATGATAAAGTCCATCATAGTCTATGTTACAACACTGACACACTGTCAGTCTCAGAACTTCCGCCCGATGGGTGTGCTTAGGGGGACCAATTATCAGTACAAACGTTGGGTCAGTTAGGGGAATGTAGAGCCAGGGGACGCTTATTGCCCTGAGCCCTGTTTCAAGCAATTGTGGCTCTTCGACTGTTATAACTCCTACTTGAACACAGATGTACAACAGACATTGTGCAAGTTCAGGCTGCCCACCGTAGTTTAAATTCTTCTACAGACATTGTTGTCCCAATCTTAGACTAAAACTGTCTAGGAAAACATTTCTTTAAAAATTAAATAATTGTAATTTTTTTTTTTTTCAAAAGAACCTTTCTTCTTCTGCTTTTTTCAGATGTGGAATAAACTTGGTTTAGTTTGATCTGAACTAATAAATAAATAAATAAATAAATAAATAAATAAATAAATAAATAAATAAATAAAAATAAATAAATAAATAAATAAATAAATAAATAAATAAATAAACTTGGTTTAGTTTGATCTAAATAGATAGAAAGATAGAAAGATAGATGATTAATGGATGGATGGATGGATGGATGGATGGATGGATAAATACACATTCAACAGTCATGACGCGGAAAATCAATCCTATCAGTGAGATGAATGATCTGAACACTTGAGGTATCAGAAGGTCTGTTTTCAATGTATGCTCTTTTCAATGTATTTCTGTTCTCCCCCTGGACATTCTGTGTTAGAATTGGTCCCCAGGAACCTGTGACAGTTGTAAGAGGCTACCTGATGGATCGTGTGGTCAGGTTGAGTGACTTGGTTGATTGCATGTCATTGTAACCATGCACACTGGACTGTCTGGTCCAGATTCCATTATTTACTGTCATGAACCTGGAATATGCTCAGTGTGGCATTAAACAACAAACAAATCTTTCTTTTCTATCATCCACACTTCATAAAAGGTCTGTTTTTCTGTAATGTGTGTCAGATATTTAAAGTAGCAATAATGCTCTTATTTCTTCAAACTGTTACAGAGACAATACTGACACCAGCTTGCAAGCTGAGTCAGTTCATCTAATGTTAAATGTTTCCCGAAGGCTAGCAGCAATATAGGCTTTGGGAAGGGCTTCCGTATGTGTTATTCATGCTTGTAAATGTTTCAGGTAAATGTCTTTCACAGCTGTTATATTTCCATTGGTAATGAAATCACCAAGATCTCTGCCAAATCCACGGCAAGACAAGACTCGGAAAACAATGTATTAATCAGTGGCATTACAATAGACAAACTAACTGATCGGGGCTGGAGGCAGCTTGCCCGAAAAGCCATGTACAACGTCACGACTGTGTTAAGCAGCTCATATGACCCCTTACAGGCGTTATTGTGTTATGTACCACCCTTCTACATTGTCTATTGCACAGTCAAACAAATAGGTTAGAAATCTACAACAAACAGGATCATTCCAAATTATTGTTGTTGAAATTATAATTTTGAGAAGACAGTCAAAGGAAATCTTAGGATTCATTCTGCATTAACATTTCTATTGACATTATTAGTATCAAACATAAAAAACATTATGCAAATTATTTCATTTTTTAACCAAAGAATATTACATTTATAGATCTCTATCAATACCAAATAGAAGAGCCAGGCAAACCTTTAACAGGAAAACCAAGTTATAGAAGTAATACAATCTTAAACTTTCTAACAAATTTAAACAACTATTTTAAAGCGTTCTAGTTCAACCATTGAAACACAGCACAATATAAGAGTTTCAGATCGACAGCGCCATAACAGCCCTCAAACCATACTTTGGGGGGGGGGGGGGGGGGGGGGGGGGGGGGGTGAGGGGGGGGACTTGAAGCTTGACTTTAATGTTACTGAAGACATTATTTCCTGTGAAAGACGAACGGGTATTATATGAAGTGGAATAGTGATCCAGTATACACAAGCCCTTGTTCAAGAACACACCTGCAGAGCAAGAGTTGAAATCACTACCCCTGAAATTGACATCCGTGACAGTACACTTCATACAATAATCCAACAAACTTGACATGATTAGCCTTACAGTCCATAACACCTGGTAAATATCAATAAAATCCCTTGTAATGATGTAATTTAAATTTCTGCTGATTGTGGTGTTTAACTGCTGTAAAAATCAATACTGAAACGGAGCGGCTTTCGTGTTTAAATGTTGCACTGAAATTCACTGAAAGTAGGAGACAATAGGGAAGGGAGCCATCGCGGAACAAGACGATGAATAGTTGCAAATTGAGTCTGTTTGCTTTTATCAGCAAAACTCATTCGCGAATATAAAAAAAATTACATCAAAGGCTCTTGCCTCCCTACCAATCCAGTCATCAATTTCATTGCCAGTCGTAAACGCTGAAATCAACATGGTGAGATTTCGCATCACCTGAAATTAACCCATTCGCTTTCAACACTTACCCTTTCCTTTCTGAAATTTAAGCGTAGTTTTATCCATTTTTTTCTCTCACAAGTATTCCAGTGAAACACAAATATCCCCTCGAAGCATGACACAGGTATGTTCCTCTCTCTTCCTGCTGAACGTGGAAAACTATAGGACAGACTCTTTGCCAAACACAAAGCAATCAAACGGTAATCCTGCAGTTGACAGGGCTGTCTTACAGCTCTATGGTTTGTGTATCCATTCCTTTGGGACGACCCAAAACGTGGACCGAGACCCCGCGGAAAAGGAGCCAAACAGAAGTACGCTAACACAAGTCCAATTCTCACAACAGTACAATGACAACACTACAACAATGCTATGAGAGTTGGCCCACAATGGGTACAACTGACAACGTCCTACAACGGTGATGTTGCGACAATGCTGTAGGTTAAGGTGGTCAGTAGCGAGGGTGTGCGGTCAGGTTATCGTCCACCCCTGTCCACTGCAGTGTCCAGCGTAGTGTGGGCCGTCACACTATCGGACAGACCAGTAGCCCTTGTTTGCTGTTGACAAACCATTCAGCCACTGAGCGAGGTCGCTTGTGGGGGCCATCTCAAAAGTCAATAACACATCTCAGCCACACTTCCTATTCCAATTGAACATAATTAAACGAGGTAACGAGACATAGAGCTAACTGAAGTAGGGTTCCCCGGAAACAAAACATTTTCTGCAGCCTTGCAATAACCCGGTGTTGACCCACGTAACTGGTTACGTATAATGACATAACAGCCAATTGACAATCTGGTGCCGTGTAATTTCATTATTTCCACAAAGGCAGTCTTGATCATGGTGTGATAGATTTTCGCTGTGGCGGTCATCAGAAAGCTGTGACATCCCTCCTGCTGCTGCTGGTGACGTCTCAGACTTAACACCATCTATTTATTGGTAAACTTAATTAAAATATATTACATACATATTAGATACCATTAGATCCTATACACCAATGAACAAATAGTAAAGACACCTAGGACTAAATACAGATTATACAGATATGTCAAATACCTGGCAATATTAAATTTGAAAATTCAATTATTCTAAAAACAGGCCACATAATTGAAAAATCTGAACTTTCTAATAAATAATCCCAAACTATATATATTTATATTTCCCATTCAAGAGTACAGTCCAATATAATTAAACAAAGCAAGATAGAAAATAGGTTTTATTGGAGAAAGTATTCTGCCTTGTGTTTTGTTTTGAATTTTAAATAAATATATGTATATAGGCATTTATCTAGGATTACCAAACTAAGTGCCCTTGGCAAGGAATTGGGGAAGAAATTGCTATTTTGTTCATAATTAGGATTTTTTGGAGGTCTTATTTTCTAAAATTCAGAGGTTTTTTAACATTGCATTCACTGCTTTTCAGCATCTACCACTCTTTTAGGTAACTCATGGCCTCAGTTATCTCTGTACAGCAATAACATCATAGTAATTACCGCAGTAACATGAACTGGACAATTTTAATTATTCATTTATTTATTTTTTTTAATTTTCTTTTGGGGGGGAGGGGGAGATTTTTTATTGACAGAAACTTTATTGAGCCAAATATCAGCCTCTGAGAGGGTCTACATAAGTCCTCAATAACTTATCAGATTTTCCCTCGCAATATGCTTAAATGTTGGGGTATATAGTCACACATGGGTGAACATGTCAAGCCCGCCCGGTCATTTACCTACTGTACACATTACAACAAACACAATATTTCCACAAGAATTACCTGCCAAATTAGACAATCCAAACAGCAATGCCAATATACAGACAAAATTGTCAACGTTTACACACAACCAGTAAAAGGTGGTACTTCAAGTGCTGATCTCTTGTGATTAGGTTCCCAGTGATTTCATGGGTTATTTTGTTAACGGGTTACTCTCTACCAAAACAAGCCGCGATTATTGAGTAAAGCTGCATGAATTAAGTGGTTATGGTCGAGGGGATTTGTTTAAACTGCTTTCTTACATGTATAAAGGGTTTGAAGTTTGACATTTTCCCAGCCTATTTTCGTTTTGATAATATTTCGACAGGTCTTTTCAAGCGTCACTTTGAAGTTGCAATTTATACATAAGCTTTTGTGATATATTACTTTTAATCTTGTGTTTACGTTTCTTTATCTATTTTTGTTTTGTTGTTAAATTTTCTGGATTCACAGGTCTCTGAATGCAAGAAACAGGCATTATGAAGTTTAACATGATTTACCAACTACAATAAACAATTTAAGATGAACCTCTGCATGTATGATATGATGGTTATTCGAATTAAACATCTTTTACAGCTACTTTGAACATGTTGCCTGACATCACTTGCTGGTGTCATGTCTTAAATATGACTGACAAAAGAGGTAGACGCGATGATTCCAATCCAAGCAGCCTTGAGCTCATTATTGACTAGATCCAAGTACTCATTCCACGTAACAATCTGTGACTGTCGTAACTTGGCCGTAACAGACAGTGACCGTGCTTCATTTACTTTATGGAACAGGACCTGTTCCACAAAGTGATCTAAGACCTGTGATTCTCGTAAGTCTATGTTAAAGTATGGGAGTTATGATTGTCTAAACGCTAAGATCGCATTGTGGAAAGGGCCAACATCATCCCTGTCAATCAGGAATGTTTTTGTGTTTGTTTTTTTAACTCCGCACACAGCAATATTCCAGCTATATGACGGTGGTCTGCAAATAATCGAGTCTGGACCAGACAATCCAGTGACTGACCTACGCAATTGGGATACGATGACATGCATCAACCAAGTCAGTGAGCCTGACCACCCGATCCTGTTAGTCGCCTTTTACGACAAGCATCGTCGCCTTTTACGGCAAGCATGGGTTGTTGAAGACCTATTCTACCCCGGATCTTCACAGGAATGCCTTCAAACAGGTGGACATGGTCTTCATCCCACAAAGGGATTCATATGAAAAGGCCTTGGAGTGCCTGTAGATTACAGATACCACGGTGTCTGAAGGTGAACATGGCCCTCATCCCACAAAGGGATCTGCAATTGGCGTAAGTTTGCATTAACCGGACTTACGCTAGTCTTAGTTCTACATTCACTTTGTGAGACAGTGGTTCTGCTCTATCTTCAATTTTGGAATTCAGACGAGCAGGTCACTTTTTACAGGTGGGATCCCACAAAGTGACCTACGATTGGCATTATTTTGCTTTGACCCAGACTTACGATAATCATAGTGCTACAATCACTTCATGGGACTAGGGTCCTGCTCTATCTTCCTATTGGGAAATCACATAAGCTGGCCATAGATGACCGTCGGTCATTCACAGGTCGGATCACACTTTACACAGTCCTCATCCAAAAGAGTGATCTAGGACTGGCGTATCTTTGCCTGAACACAGACTTAGGATAGTCCTAGTGCTACAATCACTTCATGGCACACGGGACCTGCTCTATCTTCCTTTTGGGAATTCACATAATCTGGCCATAGATGACCGTCGGTCATTCACCGGTCGGATCACACTTTACACGGTCCTCATCCAAAAGAGTGATCTAGGACTGGCGTATCTTTGCCTGAACACAGACTTAGGGACCACTTCATGGGACACGGGACCTGCTCTATCTTGCCTTTGGGAATTCACATCAGCAGGCCACAGGTAACCGTTGGTTGTTCCCAGATCGGATCACAATATTGACAGCGAGCATAGTAAACCAACAGTACGACACCAAGGTCTCACAGCCTCACACAGCACTCCAACAGATTAATGCCCAAGATCTGACAAGATATGTGATGGTTGTGTTACCATCAGACTATATGGGATAAGCAGTGGTTGAGAGGCTATCGGGGATTAATCTTTCAACAGCGGCAGATTATATTGTTAGTGTGGAATTGTGGGCATACAATAACAGGTGGATTAGCTGTACCGTAGTCAACACCTTGGGGGCAAATGGAGGGTTTAGTCTTCCATCACCAAAATATCAGAGCTCCAGTTAACTTTTTGAGCAATTGAGTTTTTACTCGAATGTTTCTATTTTAATTGGGTTATTACATTTTTCATTTGGTAACCAATATTTTTTCACTCATCTATTCATCACTCTATTGGGTTTTTCCCTAAATGAGCTAACATTTCGAGATTTCAAGAAAAAATAAAATGATGCTCTAGATGTATATAAGGGTTCTAACTAAAGGCTTGACTCGGAAAGTGAGTTAGCTCGTAATTGTGTTTCAGAAATTAGCTCCATTGTACGCATGCTGAAAAAGCTTCATTGGGTATTTACGCATGCTGTGTTTATACATCTGAGTTTTTTATTTAAAGCATGTGTTTCTGTATGCAAGTTAATTGAAAGTAATTGGGTTTTGAATATTTTGGGGGGTATTTTACGCAAATTAGCAGCTTATCTGTAGCTCTGAAATTACTATTTGTTTAGATTCTTAAGACAGCAGTTCAAAAATCAGATGTTGATAAAACTCATTATGGCCTTGATGTGGTATACTTTTATCGAAAAACAACTAAAAAGAAACTATTGTACACATAAAATCAGTCACATTTTTAAAGTAAAAGTTTAATGTATAGTGTCCATGTAAAAACTGTTTAGCGTAAATTAAAACTGTACTGTTCATTGTAATTGTACTAAAGTTTCATAAACGTTACATATAACTAGATCTGACACAACAAACCCGGTCTGTGTTTGGAATTTGCTCAACATGAAATACAGTAATGAAAATGAAAGCAAGATCAGCTATCCCCACGTCTACCTATGAACAGACTGAAGGTCGACCTTCACAAAGAGATGATTACCGTATTTGACGTAATAAGCGCCCCGCTCTAATAAGCGCTCGTGGCGATATTTGCTTATATATTGGCTAGTGAACAATCCCATTTAGCACCCCTTCCGATTGATCAATTTACACAAGACTTATTTATGCACCCTTAATTATGGGCAATTAAATTCTGGAAAAATACATCGGTGGAATACAAACATTTCAGGCTGTCAGAATAAACCACGAAATTTATCTTTCAACTCAAAATTCTCTTTTCAACTCTTTTTTTCCCACCAAAATAATATTCTATTAAGAGCACCCTATTTCTAATTTTTAGAGCGCCCTGGGCGCTTATTACATTGAATACGGTAAGCATGATAGATTGACCTTGACAGCTTGTCCACTTTTCCCCCTGTTTTTTGCACTGACTAAGCAAAAAACATGATTACTTCTGACTAAAGCCCCAAATTTGACTTATAACTGACTTGTAACATGCCCTATTTATCTTTTATCATGTTTATGCTTCAGACCTTAAGCATCTGCATTAGAATTTAAATTTCAACCTGAATTAATCTTCTTGACTGATCTACAGATGGCGTTCAAAGTCCAGGAACTGAAGAGCTCCAGATAACTTTTTGAGCAATTGAGGTTTTACTTGAAAGTTTCTATTTTAATTGGGTTAGTACATTTTTCATTGGGTAACCAATATTTTTTCACTCATCTATTTATCACTCTATTGGGTTTTTTCCCCAAATGAACTAACATTTCGAGATTTCAAAAAATAAATAATGTTTTAGATGTATAAG